ATATATCTAGCCCTTATCATGTATTTGCTTGCCTGGTTCAAATGGTATAAACTTGTCCTCCTTGTCAAAAAGACCCTTTAAGATCTTGACCCACATGTTCTAGTTAGGTATTTGCTTATCTAGTTCAAGTGGTCAAGTAACTCATGTTATCCCAATATGAGGTGAAGAGTCCCTTTAATACTATGGTCTGTATTTACTAGTCAGTGCAGAGATTTTGCTTTCTGTCAAGAGTTCTTGTGTCAACTAATGGTTATGCAAGAGTCCCTTTAAGGTTCTGATCCTCAACTCACCCGTAGAGTGCCCCTTTAAGATTGTGATCCATATCACACCCGTAGAGTGCCCCTTTAAGATTGTGATCCATATCCCACCTGTAGAGAGCCCCTTTAAGATTGTGATCCATATCACACCCGTAGAGTGCCCCTTTAAGATTGTGATCCATATCACACCTGTAGAGTGCCCCTTTAAGATTGTGATCCATATCACACCCGTAGAGTGCCCCTTTAAGATTGTGATCCATATCCCACCTGTGGAGAGCCCCTTTAAGATTGTGATCCATATCACACCCGTAGAGTGCCCCTTTAAGATTGTGATCCATATCCCACCTGTGGAGAGCCCCTTTAAGATTGTGATCCATATCACACCCGTAGAGTGCCCCTTTAAGATTGTGATCCATATCCCACCTGTGGAGAGCCCCTTTAAGATTGTGATCCATATCACACCCGTAGAGTGCCCCTTTAAGATTGTGATCCATATCACACCTGTAGAGTGCCCCTTTAAGATTGTGATCCATATCACACCCGTAGAGTGCCCCTTTAAGATTGTGATCCATATCACACCTGTAGAGTGCCCCTTTAAGATTGTGATCCATATCCCACCTGTAGAGAGCCCCTTTAAGATTGTGATCCATATCACACCCGTAGAGTGCCCCTTTAAGATTGTGATCCATATCACACCTGTAGAGTGCCCCTTTAAGATTGTGATCCATATCACACCCGTAGAGTGCCCCTTTAAGATTGTGATCCATATCCCACCTGTGGAGAGCCCCTTTAAGATTGTGATCCATATCACACCCGTAGAGTGCCCCTTTAAGATTGTGATCCATATCCCACCTGTGGAGAGCCCCTTTAAGATTGTGATCCATATCACACCCGTAGAGTGCCCCTTTAAGATTGTGATCCATATCACACCTGTAGAGTGCCCCTTTAAGATTGTGATCCATATCCCAACTGTAGAGTGCCCCTTTAAGATTGTGATCCATATCACACCCGTAGAGTGCCCCTTTAAGATTGTGATCCATATCACACCTGTAGAGTGCCCCTTTAAGATTGTGATCCATATCACACCCGTAGAGTGCCCCTTTAAGATTGTGATCCATATCACACCTGTAGAGTGCCCCTTTAAGATTGTGATCCATATCACACCTGTAGAGTGCCCCTTTAAGATTGTGATCCATATCCCAACTGTAGAGAGACCCTTTAAGAACCTGAAACACATTTTATCTGTGGGGAGTCCTTTTAAGATTGTGATCTGTATCTCACCTGGAGGGAGTCCCTTTAAGATTCTGAACCATATCTCATCTGTAAAGAGACCCTTTAAGATTCTATTCCATATCTCACCTGTTGAGAGTCCCTTTAAGATTCTGATCCATATCTCATCTATAGAGAGTCCCTTTAAGATTCTGATTCATATCTCATCTGTAGAGAGTCCCTTTAAGATTCTGACCCATATCTCATCTATAGAGAGTCCCTTTAAGATTCTGATCCATATCTCATCTGTAGAGAGTCCCTTTAAGATTCTGACCCATATATACTGGCCGACTTGTGTCTGTACTTGGCTCCCTGATCCCAGTGATGGGACATGTGGTTTTATCTCTGTGGCTAGCATCACCACCTTCCACCTCCGGGAGCCGTGGCTTTGATTGTTTTCTCACCTGAAACATGGCTGGAGGAGGAGATGAGGACAGGCTTTACGAGGGGTTCAGTTTCAGGGGGGGGCCATCTTGGTGCTGATGTGTGGAACATCAGCCCTAGTTACATACCATGCTGCTGGCTGAAATATCAGCCTAGTAATGAGTCATCTCGGTGCTACTCTGGAATATCAGACTTGTTATATGCTGTCTTGGTGCTAATCTGGAATAACAGACTTGCTATATGCCATCTTGGTGCTAATCTGAAATATCAGACTTGTTATAGGCCATCTCGGTGCTACTCTGGAATATCAGACTTGTTATATGCTGTCTTGGTGCTAATCTGGAATAACAGACTTGCTATATGCCATCTTGGTGCTAATCTGAAATATCAGACTTGTTATAGGCCATCTTGGTGCTAATGTGGAATATCAGACTTGTTATATGCTGTCTTGGTGCTAATCTGGAATAACAGACTTGCTATATGCCATCTTGGTGCTAATCTGAAATATCAGACTTGTTATAGGCCATCTTGGTGCTAATGTGGAATATCAGACTTGTTATATACTATCTTGGTGCTAATCTGGAATATCAGCCTAGTTATATGCCATCTTGGTGCTAATCTGGAATATCAGACTTGCTATATGCCATCTTGGTGCTAATCTGGAATATCAGACTTGTTATATGCCGTCTTGGTGCTAATCTAGAATATCAGCCTAGTCATGTGTCATCTTGGTGCTAATCTGGAATATCAGACTTGTTATTTGCCGTTTTAGTGCTTATTTGGAATATCAGCCTTGTTAATTGCCATCTAATTTATTATGTATTTGTATATTCTATGGTCCACATTGGTTGAAATATATATTGATTAGCAACAAAGTGTAAAATGGTCAATGGAGTTTGTTAGAATCCTATGTTATGTCACTCATTGTGGCTACACAGTCGCCTTTAGACTCCGACAAAAACTACACTAATATAAAGGAGTGCTGTACATGTAACATCCTCACAACCCCACAACCCCACAACCCCACACCCACAACCCCACACACCCACAACCTCGCGACCCTACAACCCCCCACACACCAACAACCCCACCTACCCACACACCCACACACCCACAACCCCACTCTCCATCCCTGAAATTAACATAAGTTTTTTGGACAACTGTTTTTGAATGGGAATTTTCCACTCATAATATGATACAGTACAAATTTTATTTTGACTCTCACCCCTTCAAACTTCCTGGATCCATCCTTGCATTGCACTGTAGTTTGTCATCAACGCCCTACACTCCCCATCCTCCACCCCTCAGTGTAGGGCAATATGTCTGATATCCTCCCTCGTGTTAGATACCAGTTGGACCATGTTATGTTCCCAGACATGTAAACAATGTGCAGGTACAAAAGCCTGCAAGGAAAACAACACACTCAAGCTCCCCAGTCCAATGTAATAGCTTATTTTCATTCATTTCCTCAGGGAAAATGTCAGCTTGGAATGGATCTGTGAGAAAGTCTGGCATTTAAAAGTTTGACGACTTGGGGAGAACATGTGCCGCATTAGCAGAAAGGGACAAGCCTTCTTACACAGTCTGTTAGACACAGGGGAAACAGGCAATTTATAATTTATTGTTTTATGAGGGTGTAGATCTTGGAGTTGAATTAAATGGTATGGAAGGAATTCTGCTGAATGTGCTCGTTATTCTCTCCCTTTAGGGGTGTGTTATAGCTGGTATTGACACAGTGGTTATAATGTCAAATAGTTTGTTGTACTTGTTGCGCAATTACAACAATGTTGAAACCTTCAGAGTATGTTCCCTGGTATGATGTTGCCATCCCAGTTGGAGACATTGCAGTCACTCTGGAGGGTTGTAGCTGTTAATCTTCTCTCTGGTGGCAGCAAATATTCAGGACAAGGTTCCACCAAGTTCTATAGCAACACGTTTTTATTTTTTTATTCACAAATTCAACCGACAAGAATGCCAATAGCCACAATCAGAAAATGAAATGAAAATTTTATGGATTGGAAAAATAAAAAACGAAAAACTCATACAAAATTTAAGTATCAATTAAGTTTTTAAAGAATTGAGGATGTGTAGCATCAACGATATCTCACCATAGAATGACAATGCTTTTAGCATAATGATTGATCAAATCTCTGGTCTCTTGTCACTGCAGTCTCCCAAGGCAAGAGAAAAAAGCATTCTCAGAAACATATACATCTACATGTAGAAATGCTCTACATTCTGCACTTTAACACTATTAAACAACTTCATGCCATATAAATATTGAGCTACACAGATATGTGTTTAGTTTGAACTATCCAAGCTTTATTTTGTCGTGCCAGCTTTGATAGAATGCATCTGTTAACTTTTTGCTTTATGAGAAACATCAGAGACCTTTTTCCGTACATCATATCTGTCAAAGAAAGATAGGATGGAAATGTAATTTGTGAAACAAACTGGTACCAATCTTCACTATTTGAAGTCAGCATAGGGAAAGGTTGTGTAAGCAGCATGTGCTTGTACAATGTGATAACACTTTCGTATCGCATGAGCAAAATCTGATGAGTAATGATATTGAATGTTATCACGCCTACTTTGGAGAAGGGAGGGATTTTCTGGACGCATTCATTTGGGGATATAATGTGTTAGTCTTGCAACATGACTGTGAAATTTATATTTTTTAGGTATTTCTTTTTTACTAAAAGCCTAGGCACGTCTAGATCAAACCCAGTCTAGTTTGCTTGATATGAAAACAGCAGAAGAAGAAAGGTTCTTTCGAAAAAAATAAATCTTTTTAAGACATGTTTTCATTGACTAAGTGTTAGTCTAATAATGTGTCTGTCTATTGCTTCCCAATGGCAGTAGTATAAATAATGTAAGTATTTTTAAATCTAACATATAAGATTACAAAATCCATCAAAATAGTGAATTTTGAACATATCTAGCTGGTATATATGTGAAGATATATACTGTGAGACTCATTTATCCAGACAGTGTCTGGATCAACAGGATCTCGTCTACCTGGTTACACTGTACGTAGGCCTGACCAAAACAAGCTTTTTTTTATAACTGACTTTTCTGTTTGTTTTTCAGTGTATTTCCGAGTGAGTTTGAACTTCTCGGATCTTTCGTTCAGCAATGAACTGAAGAACCGATACAGTCCTGAGTTCCAGTCGAGAGCTCAGCAAATTGCGGACGCCATTGAAGCTCTGTTCCGCAGTACACCCGGCCAGCAGCTGGTTACTGTTCTGGCCTTTAGGTGAGTTGAAAATAATAAATGTTTCTTGTTTAACTCTGTTCAGCAATAATCCAGCTATATGACGGCGGTCTGTAAATTATCAAGTGTGGACCAGACAATCCAGTGATTGATATCATGAGCATTGATCGACAGAACTGTGATACGATGACATGCATCAACCAAGCCAGCATTCCTGACCACCTGATCCTGTTAGTTGCCTCTTGTGACATGTTGAGGTTGCTGTAGATCTCGGGTCACGAGTCTCATGGGTCAGTTGAAATAAATCATTTTCAGTGTATATATACAAAAAGTTGTGGAGAAATAATGAAAATAAGACCACAAGAAAAGTTTGAGATACTTTTTTCAAGTTATAGAAGATGAAATAGCTACTAAAAAATACATAGCTAACTTGGAGATGAGCCAGGGTCTGGGGCACTTTGTTGGGCTGATCAGATGGGAATAACTGGCTTCATCAACTTGGGATAACTGGCTTCAAGAACTGGGGATAACTGGCTTCAATAACTGGCCTCAATAACTGGGTTCAAGAACTGGAGATAACTGGTTTCAAGAAGTGGGGATAACTGGCTTCAAGAAGTGGCGATAACTGGCTTCAAGAATTGGAGATACGACAGCTGGAATGAAACTTGAATGAAACTGTCATGCTTGTGTTGCAAAATAAGAGTGTGTGGGTATAGAAACGCAATTCTTGGACAAAAAAAAAGTTAATTTGTACAGAAAAATCTTCTTCCCAAGCCCTAAGTGTCTGGTTGCGAACCTCATGGTCCCACTCAAATCCTGGGAGACGATGGGGTGTGTGTTAATGATTACTCATGGTATAAAGGAAAATAGTACAAACCGACGACTCAGCACGCTGCCCATGCACAGTTTAAATTTCCTACGTGTGACCCAGCCTGTCTGTGGCAACCCAGTCCTGCCAATCACATGCGTCTCACACTCAATGGCCACACGGAGACAACGCACAGCAGCCAGATCATCAAATTACAGATTACCTCCCTTGTTTATTTACCATCCTTGCTGCCATCTTTGATGGAAAACTGAGAAGTGTGATATTCCTAGAAATTGGGATATCACTCCTATCGGTTTTCTGGGAATTCCTAAAGGTTTGCGGTGCAGATGCTGGCTGCAATTGTTTTGACTTGAATTTTCTACTTGATGACCTGAGATAACCGAACTAGCCAGGAGGAACTGATGTGGCAGATATAGTGGGATGCACTGCTGTTCCCTGGAACTATTTGGAAAACTGCCATAGTTTAAGCAAGGAATATGCAGAGAAATAGATGTTTTTTACATAGCTTGACGGGGTGATGGTGCTGTGGTTTGAAGTGAGGAACATGTGTAGTATGGATTCTGTATTGGAGAAGAGGAAGAAGTAGAAGAAGAGGGGGAAGAAGAAGAGGAAGTAGAAGAGGAGGAAGGGTGGAAGAAGAAGAGGAAGAAGAGAAAGAAGAAGAGGAGGAAGAATAGGAAGTAGAAGAGGAGGAAGGGTGGAAGAAGAAGAGGAAGAAGAAAAAGAAGAGGAGGAAGAATAGGAAGTAGAAGAGGAGGAAGGGTGGAGGAAGAAGAGAAAGAAGAAGAGGAGGAAGAAGAGGAAGTAGAAGAGGAGGAAGGGTGGAAGAAGAGGAAGTAGAAGAGGAGGAAGGGTGGAAGAAGAAGAGGAAGAAGAGAAAGAAGAAGAGGAGGAAGAAGAGGAGGAAGGATGGAAGAAGAAGAGGAAGTAGAAGAGGAGGAAGGGTGGAAGAAGAAGAGGAAGTAGAAGAGGAGGAAGAAGATGGAAGAAGAGGAGGAGGAAGAAGTGGAGGAATAAGAAGAAGGAAAAGAAGAGGAGAAAGAAGAGGAGGGGAAGAAGATGGAAGAAGAGGAGAGGAAGATGAAGAGGATGGAAGAAGAGGAAGAAGACATTTTTTGTACGAACACCCTGACAGGGTGGCAGATTTGGCACTAGGATCTACTATAATTTCAAAACTATGTCTACGCTTTGTGAGCTGAAGTATGATTTTGTTTATTAATTATCTGGGCACAGTTTCAAAGCTAAGTGTTTGGAAACTTTCAAATCCTGAATTTAGAAATAGAACTTAACTATTTATAAGTTATATTTTGAAACTGTGATAATAAGTACCCAGCTGTTTTACTAACCAAGCTTGTCTTTGAGAGCACTTCATATTGCATTTGCTGAGGCAAACATGGTGAATACGGCATTTATACCCCACTCTTTATGGTCACTGCGACATCCCAATGAAGGGATGAGATACTAGTAGGAGGCTGTGTGTGAAATAAGTCATCACCAGAGACCACATAGAAGGGAAAGCATGTAAAACATGAAGAAACGACTTAGTAAATGATACACTCGTAGTGAAGGAAGAGTGCTCGCCAGGTGTATGTTTTCACCTCTTGCTTCCATCAGGTGTGGAATGTTTCGGCTTTTTTCTTCTTGATGTTTGTTTATAATAATGTCAAATTGTCCATTTACTATCTCAACATTTTAAAACTTTGATTATGAATATAATGTATAAAGCACCTGCACATGGGTTTTCGACAGGCTCTGCGAAATTAAATTATGTTTTCATCAGAAATCTGTGAGGGCAAAAATTAATGATTACCACTCCGAAGTCTGTGCTCCTTTGGTGCTGGGGCACGTTTCATAAATTTGTTATGTCTGACAAGTGCAGCTTTTTATGAAAAACACCTGTTGATGTCGTTAAGTCAGGTGTGATATCTTGCCTGATATCAGAGTTAGGGGAGTGGCTCGCCCACGGAACCGTGGCAGAACATGTTGGAGGAGTTAAGGGAATCATGCTAGCAGATGGTGCTCCTTTAAGTCAGTGATGATGATGCAAGATAAAGTCTGTCTGTCAGGTGTATGCTGCAAGAGAGGCATGCGTTATCATATCATCGGATCAACATAACGTGGCATTGGGTGTTTCAGGTTACAGGAGTCCAGGGGCAGCTTCATGGGTGCTGCAACTGTTTGTGTAGAGTTATGTCCCTTGGATGCAAGGGTGCACTTGTCTTGGGTTCCAGTCTCAGATTTTTACCGATTGTGATCGATTCTTGGCTTCTCGTCTCTGTACTTGGGATCACAGATTTCGTCAAAGTGGTCAATGTCAGACGACTTTCAGCTGACACTCTACAATGGGATTCTTCAAAATGACATGAAACCCAACTAATTTTTAAAATATCTCCTTTTGTAATGAAATGTTTACAATGAAAGCACATTGTATGGGGATAGAAACATAGGATATTAATGTTGTCTGTCTGTCTGTCTGTCTGTTAGTGTTTTGTAAGGGCTATAAGAGGTTGTGAATATGTCCTTGATTGTGAGGCCCTTGTTAGTGTAATTGTAAGGGCTATAAGAGGTTGTGAATGTATCCTTGATTGTGAGGCCCTTGTTAGTGTTTTGTAAGGGCTATAAGAGGTTGTGAATGTATCCTTGATTGTGAGGCCCTTGTTAGTGTTTTGTAAGGGCTATAAGAGGTTGTGAATGTATCCTTGATTGTGAGGCCCTTGTTGGCGTTTCGTAAGGGCTATAAGAGGTTGTGAATATATCCTTGATTGTGAGACCCTTGTCGGCGTTGCATAAGGGCTATAAGAGGTTGCGAATGAATCCATGGCTGTCATTTATTTAAATAAGCACACCACACATCTGCAATGGAGACTGAATCAACGCTGGTTCCGGTTTTGGCACCCACTCAATCACGACACCACATGTTCCATGTCTACAGAGTGTCTACAGAACTTGTGTATTGTTTTAGACATTCAGGCTTGTATAATGGAGGACAGCTTGGTAAAGCGCCAGAACCACGCCTTCTCTGCCGTACAACACAGGTGGGCGTGGAACTAGGGCAGTACGTTGATTATATAGCATTGGAAATAGTTCTTTATCTACGTAGGAAACTTAGAAAAGCTATACTACATAGTGATAGGGGTGATTCGTTCATTATCTACATTGTAAAAGGTAGCTGTACTGCATATTGACAGGGGAGATATGGTGATTATAGCATGGGATCAGAAATAGTTCATTATCTTCATTGTAAAAGGTAGCTGCACTGCATATTGACAGGGGAGATATGTTGATATTAGCATGGGATCAGAAATAGTTCATTATCTTCATTGTAAAAGGTAGCTGTACTGCAAAGAGATTGGGAAGCAGTGTTCAAAATAAGCACTTGCCTGCAGGCCTGTGGCAAGTAGATCTGTGTCGGGCCTGTACTTCTAGATTTTAATTGGTCTATAATAATCTGCAGTTTGTTAAATGAGGGCCTGGAGTTTAGTCAGGGCCTGCAGCTTCTAAAGTCTGTGGGTCCTGATGGCAGTCTGGCAATATTTCATATTTCAAACACTGCAGGGGAGATACGTTGGTTATAGCACGGATGACAGTACTGATACTACACAGCTGGCCATGGCCTGGGGCAGTATTGGAGGTATACTACTTGTACATGAACTAGTTATTAAATAATTCTAAAGAGAAATATAGCTGCAGGTAGTGTAACAGGGCTCCAAATATGCCACACCCACCTGTGTTAAATGGCTACCATGTTGATAGTGACATACATGGCCACATTTGGTCACAAGGGATTGCAGGAATAGTTTGTTAAAAGAAAGAGTGACCCCATCGCAGAGGTTACTACTCTCCTGTGTGTGCCTCCATGGCATCAGTGATTTGGGGCTTTAAAAGCCAATAAATTGGTCATTTTTCTGTATATGTCTTTGAAATTTCATCTGAAACTAAGACTGCTTCAGACAACTCCCAATGATCTATGACTGTTCTCATAACAAGTTACAGAAGATGTCGTTATGAGTCAATTCCCAAGTTGAAACAATATGTTAACCCAGAAATCTGTACATTAATGAATTTAGTGTGAAACCAACAAACAACCAAGAAGTAGTTTACATTATCAACAATTGTATTACCAAATTCACGAGGTTTACAAATCAATACAAATTACTGCACAGTAATTACAATGGCAGTACACAATAGAGTGGTGGTACAATATTCAATGGCA